CCGCCTCTCTCCCTCTCCGGCTTCCTCTCCATCTTGGCTCCGGCGGCTCGCCTTCGCGGTTGCTCCCCGGCCGCCGAGGCCGGGTGACCTCAGCTAACGTGAGGAGACTGTGGGTCGGAGGCAGCCTGCGTGCCGGATAGTTCGCCTTAGAGGCGCGGGGGCAGAGGCGCAGTTCTCGCTCCCGGCGCCCCGCAAACATTGCTGGAGCACGTAGTGTGGCGGTGCGGAGAGAGGCACACAGTAGGAGGAGACAAAGCCAGGCCTGTCCTCTAGCCCCGGCCTCCCGACCCCCGAGGTGTCCGTGCTGGGGGCAGCCCCGCCCTGGGGAGCTTGGGGAGGGAAGCGCCAGGTTGGCCCGGGAGCGAGCTTCTAGCAGGTGCTTCCTCCCTAACGCAGAGCTGCAGCGCTCTTGCTCGTCCCAGACGCTTTAGCTTGGTGGAGGTCTTTGCCCTGATTTCTCTTGCCCTGCCCCTTCCCCAAACACAAATTCATAAGGTGAATTTTGAATAGATTTTCTCCCTTGCCTCGTCTTAAAAAAAAAAAAATTCCCCATCTATTTTCTTTTTGCAAATAAAAGACCCAGAAAGGCGGGTCAGTTACTCAGTGTCCTGAGGAAACACGTACACATTTGCCAAACATCAGCCATGTTCTGGGTGGTCTCTTTGAGATTTTGAAGAAGCTAGTTCTCACTGCACCAAAAAATCAGTTCCACCAGACAGCCCCAGGGGACCTCCCAGAGCGAGGGGCCAAATGGAAAGGTTGCCTGGGGACAGGAGAGGCAAGCGGCCAGGGGAAAACGTGTGTTCTAATAGCTGGGCATTTCTATGACTCTGAAAGCAAACTTGTTTGTTTCGTTTCAACAATAGAACACACACACACACCCCTGTTTTGGAAATGTTACCCAGCATAAAAATACATTTGCAATGGGAGGTTGGGGGTGGAGTGGCGTTCAGGCCCACCCAGAAGAAAACATTTTTTTTCCCCCTGAATTTTTAAATTTGTTATTTCCCAGTATGGGTTTGCCGCATTCTACACAAATAGCTATGTCAAAAGTGGTATGTAATGCAATTTGAATATCTAAATTTGAGCCACATTTTACTTTTCTAGGAATTTGACAAAGGGCTCAGAAAGAGTTGTTTTAGAAAGTCAATAACTTCTTCCCCATCTCTCCTCCCATCCCCCACCCCCTACCTGCAGGCCAGTTTTCTTTTGTGTGTATGTTTAGAGGGGACCTTAGGGGATAAAATCTGGTTTGCTTAAAATTAGGATGTCACTCGGAGTCAGTTTCCAGATCAAAAACAAAGCTAAGATACCCAACATCCAATAGGATTTTTTTCCTCCTAAGTTTGCTAGGATGATTATGCAGCTCTATCAGATAACGGGAAAAAATTCAGCAACCTCACCAAGACTCTTCTATCCCTACAAGACTACATTTGAAAGCCTGAAAAGGTAAGACTATATCCATTTCTTGGCAGGTGGTGGATTATATTTGATATTTTAATGCTCTTTTGTATCAAGTAATTCTTAAGATCTAAGCCAGGGGTGGGCAAACTTTTTGACTTGAGGGCCACAACGCGTTCTTAAACTGGACCAGAGGGCCGGAACAAAAGCATGGATGGAGTGTTTGTGTGAACTAATATAAATTCAAAGTAAACATCATTACATAAACGGGTATGGTCTTTTTTTTTTTTTTTTAGTTTTAGTCTTTCAAACGGGGCCGGATCCGGCGTAGTTTGCCCATGGCTGCTCGATTCCCTTGTCTAGAAAAGAGTTTGACAAATAATAGGTGCTCAATATGGGTTCATAAACTGGGCCAGAAGGCCGGAACAAAAGCATGGATGGAGTGTTTGTGTGAACTAATATAAATTCAAAGTAAACATCATTACATAAAACGGTACAGTCTTTTTTTTTTTTTAGTTTTATTCATTTCAAACGGGCTGGATCCAGCCCGCGGGCCGTAATTTGCCCACGGCTGAAGGGGCATTGTGGCTTGTTTGGTTGAATCAAACTATCCTTGATTTTAGGTATTCTTTCTTGGTATCATACCTGGTCTGGTAGAGACAAAAACCTGTTTTTTGTGTGTGTGTGTTTCTCTTTATTCACTCAGTCCTTAAAAAGCACCCACCTACCTACTGGGTACGGAGTAATGTTCTAGTCTAGTCTCTTCTAGACGTTGTATTTCAGGTTTGTCTACCCTGCTGTCCTTCTCTGGGTCACTTTGCATCTTTATCACTGGGCTTCATAAAAGACTGATAACAATCCCCTTTGTCTGTCCAGTGCTTCACAGCGTGCAGGGCACTTTTATAAAAATGATCTCATGTGAGCCTCTCCAATACACCTCAGTTCGGTCCTGTGGTGGGGGGAGCATCCTGGCTGAGTGGGAAGAAGTTAGACCCTGAATCCAGATTGACCCCGAGTATGTACCTATTTTACAGCTGAAAAGACTGAGCCTCTGGGGGGAGGGTTGAAGAGCTTATGCGAGATCACGTGGTCGTTATTAAGTCATAAGCCAGGGCTCCTTTTACAGGACTATTTGAAAAATAGCGTGTTACATAAATACATAGAGCATGCCTCCTGGACTCACAGAAAATTCCCAATCCTAGAACCGAATGTATCCTGGTCCCCCCAAAGGAAGTGAGGATGAGAACATCCCCGTTTTTCTGTGAGTTATTAGTCATTAGATAATACCCCAATATCTGTCCACAATTAATTCCTGGAGGGATAGGGGAATGACAGTCCTAATATCAGGAATGATCGAATTCATTTGGTTTTATTTTATATGATCTTCAGAATTGTATTTCTCTGATCATTGCTGTTGGCCAGAGCAGAAGGCTCATTTACTCTACCCTCAGTCAACATTCCTCCTTGCCCCCCACACACATTGTTCAACACATTTTTTATTTTTAAAAGGTAATTAGAATATTTTATGTGCTCTCTAAAAGGAACAATGGCAAAAGCCTACATTAGGTTGCCTTTTTTTTAGTGCAGGTGGCTCTTAATTCAGGAGGAAGTAATTTATGACATAAGCAAGATCCTCCAGCCCTGACTTACAGAAAGTGGGCTGTTAGCAGTGAGCTGACCTTCCTTATTTGTTCCCGTTCGTTATTCCTTTAATTAAATATGTGTGTATTGACAATCTGTGGTGTTTCATATATTGATTTAAACTCAAAGAGAGGTTCAGATATGAGCTTGGATTCGAGAAATCTTGAAATCCCTGGAATGTTCTCTCAAAACCATTCACGGGAGGATCACTGTGTTAAAGGTCGTCACCTGTCTTACCAAGTCAGACCCCTTCTGCAATCCGCATGACTAGCCATTCCCCAGGTGATTTTTCTGTGTACAACATGGGGGGAGGGGCTTAAACAGAATCTGTATGTGTCAACTACTTTTGCTCGGAGCTTACTTTCTTAAAATCCAATATCTCACATGCTTCTCAATTCAACTTTTTTTAAAAAAGGTTAATTGGGGTGTGTGTGTGTGTGTGTTGTATTTCTGCCAAAGGAAAAAATTATGCAAATCACCACTCCTTATGAACACTACCGTCATGGGAAGAAAATAGGCTAACATGTGTGGTTCATGAGCCAAATGAAATCAAACTAAATGTCAAGTGAATTAGACATTTTAGGGAGAATGGTAGCTCACTGGAGATTTTAGTTTTCTGCACGAAAGGTTTCTATTATGAAATTGATAGTTTACAATCTAACTTGATGGTGAATATAATTTAGAATGTCTGGGTAAGACTAGTATATGACTTTGTGTTTTGTGATAAATATCAGGCATTAATGAGGGCAGATGATGATCAAAGATTTGTTTTATGTCACTAGAAGGCCCCCTATTTTACCCATACTCAGCACTTCTCTGACTGGTAGTCTTTTGTGCACACCTCTCAGACTTACTGAATTAGTGGTTCTCAAATGTCATTGTTCATAAGAATTATGTGGGGTACTTTTAAAATGCAGATTTCTGGGTCCTGCCCCTGAATCAGTTAAGTCTGAGGTGGAGCCTGGAAATGTTCATTTTTACAGTCAGACCTTCTCCTTCGTGTGATACCCATGCCCTTTGAGAAACACCTCAGTGGACTGCAAACTCCCTTGAGGTGAAGGAGTTACCTTTTCACTCTGTGTGTATCCCAAAAGGCTAAGCATGGCCAGAGGTCCTCATTTTGAATACTTCTAAATTAAATTCACCTGGCTCTAAGCAAGGGCTAAATCAAATCACCTATTTAAGTTCTTCCCCGCTCTGGAACTCTTTGATTTTTTCTGATAGAAATTTTGGGACGTGGTGATTCTAGAAAAAGTTTGAGATTGGGTGAGTTAAAAGAGGTAATGGATGTTTTCAAGTAAGGTTCTGACGTGCAAAACCGCACTGGTTTTAAACACACAGATGCGAGATTTATTGGTATTTAGAAGCATGTGAGAAAAGCAAATGTTTTTGAAGTTCCTGTCAGAAAATTCTTTGCTAAGTTTTGTGTCTCATTTGTTATTTTGTAGAGTTTGTAAAAATGAATGAGTTTCTTTATAATAGGAATAAAAGATGTCAGGGGAAGAAAGAAGGTTTTGTGGACTTTGAAATGAAGGGACTTGAATAAAGGGCAGATTAAGGCCCGCAGGTAATTGAATTGAGCTCTTAAATTGTGGAAGTCCATTATGTGGTCATTCTTAAGAGTTGAACAACAGCATTAGTTGTTGTATTCTGATGGTACAAGAACCCCCAAGTGGGTGTACTTCATGGTTTTTCTCAGTGTAGGATAGTAAGAGAATTCCACAAGGATGCACTTGGCTTGAATGGAGTGGGATGTTGGAAAGGGCTAGGACTTGAGCTTTCAAATTGGTAGGACTGACCAAGAGCTGAAATTGAGGTTGGAAGCTTTAGCTTAGTAAGAAGGCTTTACTGAACAGCTTTGGTCCCTGTTGTAATTTCCTTGGAAACTCTTTCATGAGAAACCAAGATCCTTATTTGTTATAATGAGAATAATAGTACTTTTCAACCTAACGGGGCTGGCATTGACATAAGATGAGCAGGTACACGTTTGTAAAATATTTACTTAAAACTTATTAAATCCTCCAGAAGACAGATTTCCTGACACAAAGGGTTTCTTGAATTATTTATCTTATTTCCTATCTCCACAGAGCCTTTCGCACATGCAGCTCCAACACATTGGAGACATTATCTCATTAGTCTTCTCAAGCTGCAAGGTCCAAAGGCTGATTTTTGCATTGCTCTTAACAAATAGGAATGTTTTTGTTTGTTCCTGTCAGTTATATTTGTGAAAGCCAAGAGTAGGTGAATTTTGTCTGAACCCAGTTAAAACCAGTTTGAATTGGCCGTAACAGGTGTGAGTGGTGGGAGGGCGAGGCTATCAATTAATTCAGACCTTAATCTAGAGCAGCGGTTCTCAACCTGTGGGTCGCGACCCCGTTGGCAGTCAAATGACCCTTTCACAGGGGTCGCCTAAGACCACCCTGCATATCAGATATTTACATGACGATTCATCACAGTAGCAACATTACAGTTATGAAGTAGCAACGAAAATAATTTTATGGTTGGGTCACAACATGAGGAACTGTATTTAAAGGGCCAGAAGGTTGAGAACCACTGATCTAGAAGAAGATTAAAAAAGTGTCTGACCAGACGAAACTGGCTTCATTTTGTGACCGGGCTGCATCCTCTCAAGTGCATGTGGTTTGGGGTGTTTCCAGTGTGCCAAGTACCAAGAACATGGCGTTGTGGTGGGGTAACATGGTTCTTCAGTGGAGCTGACATTGGAGTGTGTTATCTGCTCCCCAAAGGCCTGCAAAACCCTGACCTCTGCGGCAGAGGAAAACATTTTTATGAAATTCCTATGTGTGTGGTGAGTACTTCTCTAAAATTGAAGAAGGGCAATTCAGAAAGAGATGCATTTTCTACCAGACACCGCTCCCATAGGACTTTTAGCTTGAATCAATTCAGAGCTGGAAGTAGAACAAGAACTGAACTGATGTTCTTCTGGAGCTGCCCCCCGCCATCAGCTGTCTTTCCCCAAGACCACGGTAGCCTGGGGAGAAGACTGAGAGAAGAGAAAAGGAAATGGAGGAGGGAGGACTTTGAACTACTTACATCCGATGTAAATGAAAAACAGCACTGTTGGGAATGCCCCAAGAGAGGGCATATACAGGCCTCACACGGAACGTAAAGGCAGACAATGATTGAAATTAATGAGATGAATGTCCAAAGGCAATCTTAAAAAAAAAAGTCAATGGTGGGATCCTGGATTGAGAGGTGGGATGAATGGGGCAGGGGAAGAAAAAGGGTAGATTTTTGGAATTTGTCAATTTGATTATCCTTTTGTTTGTTTGTTTGTTTGTGTTACTTCAGAACCTCTTCTTCTCTCCTAGGAACGGAGGGACACCAATCATTCTTTCCTTCTCTCCCATTTCTGCTCCACTTCTATACTTAGCTTTATCCCCCCT